AGTCCTGTGCAAAAACGCATGATCGCACGGGCCCGCCCGGTGCGTTCCAGCCTGGGTTTTTTTTTGTAGCGCCGTGTTGTCGCTTTCTCTTTCCTGCTATTTCCTGCTTTTACGTCGAACTGCTGACTAATGCTCTTGTTCCTTTTCTCTATCCTGTTCTCAATTCCTGCCTTCAAACCAGCATCTAGGCTAGTCTGCAGCCCCGAACTGCACTCTCCAACCAACTAGCATTTTAATCTCTCCTTGATTCCGGACCTCCGCTACACACATCATCTTCAAGCCACTAGCCACCACTCCCAGTAGCGCTCGGCGACATCACGCTAAGCAGTGGCGACAAGCGACACCCATGACAGCGTTGGTGTTTCACTGGTAGAGAAACAAGAGCAGCCTGGTCGAGTTTTTTAAACGCGGCCGGGCCGAGCCGCGTCAAGTCAAGTTCTAGTAATAACCTTTGTACGTAAAGAAAGGTCTGCGAAGTACCAGGCTTGCCGGTGGGGTCATGTGTTTTTGCACTAAACTTGAAGCATTCAAATCTTTAATAATATGAATGGTTCTTGCACTACTATTTAATATTTGGAATCATTTTGGGTATGTTTTGGCCTTTTCCTGTGTGCTGAAGGAAATGCGCGATATAGGCGGCATGAAATCTCAAACTCCGGTATGCACGATTATCGTAATTTTTGCATGGAGGGAAATAAATGTTTTCCAGTGACCTGCCGTTTATCAAAAAATGCAAATTTGAAAGTGAACAGGATGCCGGGAGAGAAATATGACGAAATCCGCAAAATGTGCTCGCTGTTTGAGTTATGTCTTTCCCGTGTGTAGGGACCTCCAAGTTGAATTTAGGCTACGCATGAATGCAGAACATCCCTGCTTCGCAACTTATCCGGGCTGAAATTGCCATTTTGCCAGAAACGTCTTTGAATGCCCTAAAATATGGCCCAATTGCAATTTGGTACCCCGCACAAAAATCAAATTTCCGGAAGCCGAAAGAAATTAACGTATTATACAGAATAAATGACAGTTGTGATTAACTTTACCTTGAATACCCAGCTGGGCGTACTTCGAGTAGATGTTTTCTCCGACTTTGTTTTGCCGTCTTAGCGGTGAATGGTCCATGCTGCAGTGCGACACCCATTCCTGCGCAGATTTTTCCAGTTCACAGCTCCAGGTCTAAATATTCGGCAAGCTTTAGCAAGGACATTGCTGAATTTGTGTTGAGGGCGACTGATTAATCGTGTGGAAAATAAGTCGCGAAACAGGGAGTGTGCCTTCCGTCAGGAAGGAAAGAAGATGTTGTCAAAGAGGCGTAGAATTCGGTCAAGCTGGAAACGCAGAGCCCAAGCAGTAGAGAGTAAAAATCAGTTGTAAGTTTATCCAATTTGGGCAGTTTAGCAAATGCAGAATATTGAATGACGGATCGGAGAAGAGAGAATTTTTCAATAATTTTTGAAGTGAAAAGAACCTACCAATTCCATCATGTTACTAGCGCGCGGCATCTGTCGGCCACTGCTGTCATTCACTTGACCACGTGCCAGTTTTGCCCGCGCTAGATTATGCTGTCTTATAAGCGTTTTCCGCTGGACATCGGTGATTTTACTGCCGGGGCAGCTTTGAGCATCTGAAACTAATGGCTGCTTTTTGCCTTATAATTTAAAGCCAAAATCGGTCTGAAGTGCTTACTATTTTAGCTATTCTAGCTCTATATGCCATCCAATGGCGCAAAAATTCTGAAACTACCGTCCAGCAGTTCCTCACGATTTCGATGATCATGGGCTTACCTGTAAAAGTAAATACGGACAAAGCAATGATGCACAGAACTGCCAGAATCATTTTGCTCGAAATATGGATGTCGAAGAGTGGTGTCAGTAGACTTGCGCTTCTGGACACGAATTCTAGATTCCAGGCAATAAGGTTTAGGTTATTTAATTATGCATCACTTTTATATCATCACCAAACTATGCTTACGCAGCTGTTGTTTAATTTCGTTCTTTTTCGAGGATTGGGCGGGTAAGATTTTTCTTGCACAAATTTTTTACCCTCATCTCCGAAGTGCTTACTGGGTTCTATTTACATCATGGCACTGGATCAGCACTTTGAATGCACTATTTTCTAGGCATTTGCATTATTGGGTTGCCTAAGTTGCCCATCCTCCAGCGCAAACTGACAAATTTCTGCTGCCGGAATTTAGTCATGTTTCTGCATATGGGGCGGCCTCCAACGTTCTGCGAACTTCTTTTCACATTTAATGTTCCTAGTGACATAGTGTGAATATGCGTTTTACGGGAAGCTGATACGGGAGCTTGGCAAATAAATGCGCAACCAAGCAGAGACTGGCTTTAAATTATTACGCTGATTTTTGCGGCTGTCTGTTATATGTTAAGTGATAAACGTCAAAATGTGGGACCACATTTAATTTTGTTGTGGATATCAGATCTTAGTTCATAAGCTTTGAAAGCTGATTTCAGATCATCATGGTTCACTGTGTTTGGTCCAGATGCAGTCCTTTCCCCCAAAAGTTATAAAGTCATTGCCCCAGGCCGGGGCATCAAAGCCAGTGCGCAATCCAACGTCGATCATCCAAACATTTGGCTAAGGCTGGCTGGCGCTGCGCAGCGATTGACACTTTGCACGAACCTAATGGCGTACAATTTTAAATAAACAAAAACATCAGTCAACAATATAAAAACCTAAGCTACCACGCGTTTCTACACTAAACTTGAAGAAATCAGATCGCTAACAGTATGAATGGTTGTTGCTTTCCGCTTATCTTGTGCAATCATTAGCGTAAATCATCGTATATTTCGCACAAAGGAAAATGAACAATTTCCGATTATCGGTTTTTCCTCAAAAATGACCTTGCTGTTCGATC